TTTACTTACTGAGCATTGTTGTGCTCACCCCGTTGTTCTTCTCTGTTTTGCAGGAAATAGGAACAGCGGTCAGATGGACATCGAGGAGCGAAGAGTATTGGCACCACTGTCCACCAGCTATGATATTTTGTATTAATTAGAAAGTTTTTAAATACATAGTCTTTTGTATTTGTAAAGAATTATATTTTATTAGTAAAGAAAAATTTGAGCCCACTATTTTCCATACGCTACGTATATCTATAATCTACTTAGTATGTATTATAAGAATAGTACTAAAGAGGAGGTGTTACATTTCATCACCTTGCTGAGAGGCAGTTTGGAACTAAGTTGAAGTGTCTTTAGTCAGATCAAGGAGGTGAGTACAAAGCCTTACTTCCTTATCTGATTGAAAGTGGTATTCAACCTAGGTACTCATGTGCCTATGTCCACCAGGAAAATGCCCATAGTGAGAGGAAACATAGACATATTATTGAAACAGGACTTACCTTATTAGCTCACGCATCCATGCCCTTAAAATATTGGTGGCTGGCCTTTGAAACAGCAGCTTTTCTCATCAACCGACTGCCCACTACTATCTTGAATAATAACACTCCCTATTATCTGCTTTTTAATAAATATCCTGTGTATGATAGTCCTAAAGTTTTTGGCTATGCTTGTTTCCCTTTTCTTCGGAATTTTCATAGTCACAAGTTTGATTTTCATTCCTCAAAGTGTGTATTTGTTGGGTATAGTTTACTTCACAAAGGTTATAAATGTCTAAGGGCTGATGGGAAGATCTTTATTACTCCTAGTGTTAAGTTTAATGAAAATGAGTTTCCATATTCTCTAGAGTTTAATAAGCTTCCTGATCAACCTAACACTGATCCTTCAGCCAACTCCTCTAATACTTATTCCAGTAATATCCATCCACTGCCATATACAGTTTTCCAGTATAGTCCATCTTCAGTAGCCTCTGATCCCCAAGTGGTAACTGGCTCTCAGACTGATCCTAACAATCCAACAGTTGGCACTTACTCTTCAGCAGCAAGTACATCCTCTTCACCCTTGACTGATTCATCCTTGCCTAGTATCTCTAAAGTTGTAGAACAATCTGGTTTTCCATTACACACTATTTAATCAGAATCTGCCCCATCTAATTCAAACAGTCTTAATCCAGTGTCTCAATTACCTATTATTTTTTCCTCTTACAATTTGCCAACATGTTATATTGAAGTTGATCTTGATACTTCAATACCAGCCTGTGATCCTGCATCTAGTTGTAAGGTTTCTAATTCCAATCCACATCTAAAGACACACTCTGGTAGTTCTGGTACAAATTTGCAGCCTGCTCAATCTCAGCCTAGTCTATCTTGCTCTTCTCCATCTTCATTACCTACCAGTCCATCATTAGGTACTTTACAAAATTTGCATCTAGTTGTAAGGTTTCTAATTCCAATCCACATCTAAAGACACACTCTGGCAGTTTTGGTACAAATTTGCAGCATGCTCAATCTCAGCCTAGTCTATCTTGTTCTTCTCCATCTTCATTACCTACCAGTCCATCATTAGGTACTTTACAAAATTGGCATCTAGTTGTAAGGTTTCTAATTCCAATCCACATCTAAAGCACACTCTGGCAGTTTTGGTACAAATTTGCAGCATGCTCAATCTCAGCCTAGTCTATCTTGTTCTTCTCCATCTTCATTACCTACCAGTCCATCATTAGGTACTTTACAAAATTGTCAGCTTGAGGTTGACCTTACTGCTTCACAGTTCCCTAATGCTCAACTTCCTATCAAAATTAATTCTCACCCTATGGTTACAAGAGCCAAAGCTGCTGCTGGTCATGTTAATTCAACATGTGAGCCTTTGGATCATGCTGTTTATCTTACGGCTAGTTAGCCCATTATAGAATCAAAACCTATATCAGTTGCTGAAGCATTAAAAACTAGAGTTTGGAAAGAGGCTATGCAGGCAGAATTTGATGCTCTAATTAGGAACAACACCTAGACCCTTGTTTCTCCTACTGCAGACATGAATATTGTTGGTAATAAATGGGTTTTCAGAACAAAATTGAATGCTGATGGTACTTTGCAGAAGTACAAAGCTAGACTAGTAGCTAAGGGGTTTCAACAAACTCCTGGTTTTGACTATTTTGAGAGATTTAGTCCAGTTATCAAACCATCCACCATCAGAATTGTCCCCACTCTAGCAGTAACTAATGCATGGGATGTTCAACAAATTGATGTTAACAATGCTTTTCTTAATGGTACTCTAAGTGAGCTAGTGTTTATGTAGCAACCAAGTGGATTTGAATCAGTTGCTCACCCTTCATATGTGTGCAAATTAAACAAGGCTTTATATGGCCTTAAACAGGCCCCTAGGGCATGGTTTGATAAACTCAAGGCTGCTCTCCAAGCCAAAGGCTTTCAAAACTCAGTTTCAAATTCGAGTTTATTTGTACTTAAAAAATCATCAGGACTAATCTATGTTCTTGTTTATGTAGATGATATTTTAATCACTTGTTTTGATGCAGCCTATATAACTCAGTTGTTGGAAGATTTAAATGAGCAATTTGCCTTGAAAACTCTAGGATCACTCAAATATTTTTTGGGCCTAGAAGCAATTAGGACAACAGCTGGTTTACATCTCAGGCAATCCAAATATGACTCAGATTTGCTTGTCAAAACCAGAATGATGGATGCTCACCCATGCTTTACACCAATGGCTGTTGGTACTAGGCTGAGTACTGATGATAGTGATTTATTTGAGAGCCCTACATTATATCGCAGCACAATAGGAGCCTTGCAGTACCTAACATTGACTAGACCAGATATTAGCTTCACAGTTAATTGTCTTAGTCAGTTTTTACAAGCCCCAACTGAGTTACAATGGCAAGCATGCCAGCGAGTCCTACGATATGTTAAAGGGACATTACACTATGGGCTGGAGTTTAAACAAGCAAGTTCTCTAAACATTGAGTGCTATGCTGATGTAGATTGGGGTAGTAATGTTGAAGATAAGAGGTCTACTAGTGGATATTGTGTCTATCTTGGACCTAATCTAATTCAGTGGAGCTCTAGGAAACAAAAAGTTGTTGTGTTATCATCCACTGAAGCTAAATATAGGGCATTAGCACAAACTGCTACAGAGGTTGCATGGCTTCAAAGTATGTTTACTAAACTCAACCTTCACTCGCCCTCGAAACCTATGATTTGGTGTGACAACACAAGTGCTGGAGCCTTAGCTTCAAATCCAGTCTTTCACACAAGAACAAAGCATATAGAAATAGATGCTCACTATATTAGGGAGCAAGTTCTTGCCAAGAATCTGATAGTTCAATATGTACCATCAAAATTACAGATTGCAGATGTATTGACAAAGGCATTATCTGCTGCTCAATTTACTGAGCTGAGGCAGAAACTAAATGTGTTGCAGTTTCTTGTAATACGTACTGATTCTTATCTATTTCTGTAATCAAGAAGAAGATCAAAATGCTCTTAGAAGGTGGTTGAAATCTGCTGTTGAAAAATGGTTTGGAAAAATGATTGAAATCTGCTGTTGAAAAATGGTTTGGAAAGGGGTTGAAATCTGCTGTTGAAAAATGGCTTGGAAAATGGTTGAAATCTGCTGTTTAAAAAAGATTGAAATATGCAGTCTGTACTGACTCTTAACTGCTGTTTACTGGTTTCTATGCTACTTTTTTTTGTAGTATAGAAAATGACAGATGTGTGTTTTGTAGTTCTTTTTTACTGATGAAGTGTTGAAGAAGTTGTGTCAGATTGAAAAGTTGTGGCAGATTGTAGTAGTTGTGACAGATGTGTGTTTTGTGGTAGTGGCAGGTGTATGTGTTGCAGTTAAGTATTGATCTATGATTTTGAGATGATTTTGAGATAGTTTATAGTATTGTGAAGGGTTGAAGAAGTTATAGAATTATGCTCCTGAATTTATGGTGTAGAGTTGTTAAACTGATGCAGAGTTGTTAAACTGGTGAAGAGTTGTTAATGGTTGAAGAAGTTATAGAATTGTGCTCATGAATTTATGGTGCAGAATTGTTAAACTGATGCAGAGTTTTTAAACTGGTACAGATGTAGAGTTGTTAAACTGGTGCAGATGTAGAGTTGTTAAACTGGTGCAGAGTTGTTAAACTGGAGGTTTGTGATTGAACTTCAGTTACTGGAGGTTTGTGATTGAATTTCAGTTGGTTGTACTGAGCAATACAGTTTGTAACTGTATGATTGAGATAAGAGTTGCTAAGTTGAGTAGTTGAGATGTTGGTTTTGAGCTGGTTTATGTTCTTGATGTTGTTTTTTGTTGCTACTGAAAAGCTGAATATGTAGCACTGAAATTGGGCTTCTTGTCCTGAGTAGTTGAGTAAGTTTCTTGAGTAAGTTTCTTTTGTTGATTAGCAGCAAAGTTGCTCAGCTGAAGTTGAAACTGTTGAAACTAAAATTGCAGAATTGTTTTGAGCTGGTTTATGTTCTTGATGTTGTTTTTTTGTTGCTACTGAAAAGCTGAATATGTAGCACTGAAATTGAGCTGCTTGTCCTGAGTAGCTGAGTAAGTTTCTTTTGTTGATTAGCTGAAGAAGTTGAGTGTGTGTTGTCTAAAGGGGTTATATGAGCACAGAGGTATCAGAAAGAAACTTTGATTTCAGAGGGGATGTTGGTCAAAGATCCAATGAATTTGAAATGCTGGTGGAAGAAAGGCTACTGAAGCAGCAGAAGAAGAATGTCCAGTTTGAGAGGGGATGTTGGTCAAAGGACGAAAATGCAAAAAATTCAATTAGCAGGAGAAAAAGGTAATTCTGCAAGACGGTGTCGTTTTTGACTTTAGCAAAATCAGTTGTACAATGAGCTTTACTTTACTACTTTACTCTTCGTCTTTGTCTTTTTATATAAAAGTGTAAAGTTGTTCTTTACTGTAGTTCTTCTTTACGAATCTAGTTATCAAGTAAATAAAATCAAACACATTTCTCTCTATTTTTCTGCTTTGTTTGCAAACCCTAAGCTAGTTTTACACGACTTAGTTGGACATGCACGCACTGGTTAGGTATAATATTCTCTTTTAATTGATTTTTTTTTTTAACTTTTGATATCTTAGTTTGGGAGAAGACTACAAGAAGGAAGAAATGGAAATAATGATGTGTGCAGCACGCCTCTGCCTCTTGCATTCATCTTCTAGAAGGCCAACAATGAAGATGGTAAACTTCTTTTTTCATAGTCTGAAAAAAATTTTGCGCATCAAATTTCCATTCTACTAAAAGTGTGAAGTAATAGAGAATCCTCAAGTTTGACCTCTTTACTGATTGTGCATGTTGGATCAACATTTTAGATTATCGGAATTGATCCACGTACATGCTCTAAAATTTGTGGGATCTGAAGAAAAAGCCGAAGTACTTGCTGATAATCACAGTTGGTCTGAATTAGAGGCAAAATATTGATAGAATGGTTAAAAAGGTGTATATAATGGACACTTTCATTCTTTTTTTCTACCTTAACTGATTTTTACTTCAAAGATACTGAGGTTTTTGTTACATAAATTTTGATAGTTTTATGAGGATTTCCAACTTTTGCTTTTCCACTATGATGGTCGGACAAGTGAATGGGATGAATTTGAGTGGTCAAAGAGCGCAATCCATGTTAGTGCAAGGAGACAAACAAAATGGTGAGATTTTAAGATCTTCTGCATAGTACTGAATTCCAACCTTTTAGCTTCTTTAATTTGAGAGCTACCAAAGTATAGAATAAGCATCTCATTGTTTTTATATGTTTTGTTTTCATGATCATCCATTCTTGAATTGCTTGGATTTATTGTCAGGGTTTTGATGCAAGAAATCTTCAATTTAAGTTTTCATTTTCACATATGATTGGTAGGTGGTATGCAAAAAGGCTTTTGCATCCTGACGTTGTTGCAGCTTATGAGTATATTTTTATTTGGGATGAAGATCTTGGCGTGGAACACTTCAACGGGGAGAAGTAAGTTGCTAAGACATGATGCATTTTGAATTTATTTTCAGGTTTACAGAAGAGAAACCTGGCTGGTGCAGTGATCCACATGTGCCTCCATGTGCTACGTATGTTTTTTCTCTCTCACACGTACTTTTTGTATTAGTTTGATGTTGACATATCTCAATTGGTGAGTTAACATCATTCATAATTATAGTACTTGCATGCTAGTTATTGACATGAAAAATCATGCTTCAGTGAAGAAGTGTCAATTGCCTATTGGCAATAACGGATATTTATGGTTCCTTATATACGACTTGTTAAGTGACACATTTTATTTGTGTTGCATAGTTACAATAACATCTTTTAACTCTTTCTATAAAAGAATGGTATATAAGTTCGATTATGAAAGAGCAATAACAAATTTTGTTGTCCCTAATTTTCCTTTAAGAATTCAATCGTTCATGTCTCTCTAACTATATGACTCGCTTTCCTGGGCCATGGCTTACAGAAAAAGTCATTTAATTGATGCATTCTCTCTCCTTTATCCATTGCTGATATTATTGCTACTGTCGGCCTCTCTCTTTCATCCACCAATTGATCCAATTGCAGATAATGATATTGTTTCCCTTATCTCAATCACTGCCTCCATAGAATTCTAATAGTTTTCACCAAGGAAAAACTTACAATGATTTATAGCTCTTTTAAAATTGATTGACCATAATTTGAGGTTATTAGCTATTATCAATTGTCAGAAAAATAAGTCTATTACATCCATAAAAAACCGAATTGCTTAGTTCTGCAACACCTTTGAGTGATTTGGTCCCCAGATAAGTGGATATGATGAAAAGAAAAAGTTGATGTGATTGTTCATAGTTGTAGTGATAGAGCATGGCAGTAGAGAGTAGTATTGGTAATTAGTGGCAGTGGGGTGGTACATTGTCAACGGTGATGGTAAGCGAATGATGGTGGTTGTTTTAATGAGATGGGCCATCTCAAATTTTCTTTTAAGACAACTTGATTGACTTTTGTTCTATTCATATGAATGTAGACATGTTAGAGAGTAAGAACTTAGTTTGCTGTTGAGTTGTGGTCTGGTTGTCTATGTTAAAAACAAAATTTTGCATATAAATTATTCTTAAAAAGCATTTTCCTATATCATTAAGATTCATTGGAGGCAGGAAATATTAAAGTTTCGTGTAATAAAATTATTTTCTAAAATAAAACTTCTTTGTAATTGGGATTTGTTTGTTAGCATTTTAAATCATTGATGCAAAATCTAAAATAGAACTTCTTTGTGATTGAGGTTTATTTGTTAGCATTTTAAATCATTGATGCAAAAGTGGTATGTTCCATATAGATGTTTCAAATAATTAAGTTATATCTACAGCAATACTTCTGTTTGTAATAAATTAATTTGGTCAAGAGGTTCCCACACTGTAATTGTACAGTATTTTAGCCACAAAGGCCTGTAACTTTCTTGCATCCTAAGAGTCCATTTTCAACATCTGTTTCTATTTGCTTTGCTCTCAAACTCAAATCTTTCAGATCTTTTCTTTTGATAACCAAAACTATGGCTAACTTTTTGCTCTCTCGATTGTTTGAAAGACTGGTGTATCACTATATGCACTCTTGAGCTTATTTATAAAGGGAGAAAGGAAAAAGTTACCTGGATATGGAGGAGGAGGTAATCTTGGTTTTATATTGCATCACAAAATTATAAGCCTTTTGGTAGCTTCAAGGATTTTGTTGGATCTGTTTGTGCTCTTTGTAACTATGTTGTTACTGCAATCAATTATGCACAAGCTGAGTCTATTAATATATATTTCTGGCCTGTTATATTTGCCTTTGATTTACTTTGTTTTAAAATGATGGACAAGCCCGAGAGACAGAGCATTGTGTAATGTGATAGATGCTTTAATGAATTTGTGTAGATTACAAATATGAGATTCTATGTTGGATTATTAGGCATTCTACTAATCATTAATACATCCCCAATCATTTTCTCCAAGATATTCCCTTCATATATTTTAACTCTTTCTTGTTTTTTCTTAACTCTTTTTTTTTTTTTTTCTCATTTTCTTATTAACCAAGCACTCTGCAAATTAGGAATTAACTAGAGAAATCAATAAAGATTTCCATGAATCTTCATGCCTCAAACCTATGTTGATTAAATATGTGTGCATATATATCCATAACAGTTAGGAGTTATTATGGGTTCTACTTAAGGTCTAATGTTTAACTCTATGGATTGTAAATTAACTCCATCACCCATCTCAGGAAACATAAGTAATTGATTCTACTTAAGGTCTAACATTTCACTCTCTACCTAGGGACCTGGTTGAGATCCCTTGGCGCAATTATGGGGCTGAGTATATTGTTGAATCTTCTGCGGTCTTCACAACAACTGACAAGGCCTCAGCTCACATAAAGGTTAGTTCTGAGTTTTTTGACACTATTTTTTTTTAGTTCATTGCTATCTTTTTACCTCTCATACATTTATGTAGAAATTTATGATATTGGTTATCTAAAATTACATTGCAAACACTGGTAAAGTTATGATATTGGTAAACTTATGTAGAAATTTAACTTAGGTAGGTTGAATTTGAAGGGATTGAATTTAATGAGGTGACAATAGGAAGAGTTGAAACCGAGGGACAGCATGCTAAACAATGGTGAATAGTAAAGATGAAGATGTATGCAATGTATCAGATGAACAATCAAAAGTACAGAAATTGGGACCAAAATCAGACCTTGAATTAAAACCAAGATTATTGGCATAGGTGAGATGACTATTTTTCCATCAGAGATTTTCAAATATTTATAGCCTTTATGAGCAAGGTTGTATTATAAAAAACACATTTGGCTGAATGAAAGAAGAAATTAACTTAGTTTAAAATTTTAAACTAGGAATTGAAGTTTAGATTGTTAATCTGTGAGATATTTGATTTTTTACTCCATCAATTTGATTTTGGTTGGTGCTGCAGTACGTTCTGTGAACTTGAGGGTAGTCTTTCTTTTCTATTGCTATTATAAGTTTTTGTTACATATTGTATACCCCAGAATAATATAATTTATTTGTAATAATTTAGTTCTTGCTTGTATTGATTATGCATTGAATTGATGGTAGGAAAAAAGGATACATTTGTGCAATAATGCTTGAAGGAGAAGCTCATCTTACTTGAAGGAGCAGAAGCAGAGTTAAGGGCATAGTCCAACAACAAGAAAATAAGATAAACAGTTGTATGGATATTAATATATATATATATAATATAATAATATATATATATATATATATGAAAATATGATATGTATGAAAATATGATATTTGATGTTAGTGTTCAGATTTTTATATTGTGATGGATTATTTGTTGATGTTGAATGTTAAACTAGGTCAATACAAAATGCTTTTGCCACTAATTATTTTCTCAAAAAAAAAAAAAAAAAAAAAAGCACTTTTGCAACTAATTTTGTAGTAGCAAACAGTAATTTATCATAATTGGATTCTACATTTAGCGTCTAAAATGACTATAATTAAACTACTAAATTTTGGTCACCAAAAGATACATTCGGCCACTAATAAAATAGTTGCGAAAACCTATTGGGTTTCACATTCAGCATCTAAAATAACTATAATTAACTACTAAATTTTGGTCACCAAAAGATATATTTGGCCACTAATAAATAGTCAAAAAAAACGTTGGATTCTACATTCAGCGTCTAAAAAGTTTACAATTAAACACTAAATTTTGGTCACCAAAGATACATTCGTCGACTAAGAAAATAGTTGCAAAAATCTTTTACGAAATTACCCTTACACCTTTGGCGTCTAATTTTTGTGGATTTGCGACAAATTATTAAACACTAAAATGTACATTTTGCAACTAATTGATTAGTCGCTATACAATTTACCAAATTACCCTTGAACTTTTAGCATCTAAGTTGGGGGACTAATTTGACCAGCATTTAGCGACTATTTGGCTAGTCGCAAAAAAAAAAAAAAAAAAAAAAAAAAAAAACTTTTCACGTCTAAACCAAAATACGTGCTATGAATCTGTGACCAGCTTACTGCAACTAAGGGGTGACTACCAAATTTAGACGCTAAAATTGGCTCAGCGTCTAAATGAAACTTTCTGCGTCTAATGTTGCTAGACGCAAAGTGCTAGTTTTCTTGTAATGAAGGAACGTATTCCTTCTTTTTGGTTTGGACCACAAAACAAATTAGGAAAGATAACTTTATTCCTTAGGCCGACTTAAGGAAAATAAGACGCATGTAAAAAGATTCTAAATATCAAGAGACAAAGATAAACACAATTTTTTTCTCTTTATCAGGCATGCAACTTATGACGGGTTGCAAAAGAGTTTTAAATGAGAGTATGAGAACAGACCATTATGCACACACACTCGAGATGAAACACGTCAAGACTTATATCTGGCAAACTGTGTGACTAAGAAATGATGTGCACACACACAACAGATAAGACAAGCTAAATAAAAAAATTGGCAACAAGTGTGCATACATAACTATTGTGCACACGCATAATTCATAAGTTTGACAAAAATAAATATTCTATATTCTGTATAGTTTTTTGTCTTTTATAAAATTTACCTTAAAAAAAAAAAAAAAAAAAAAATCTACGATGAATACAACTATAATTTCTTTTAATTCTTCGGGGCTTATTTCTAAATAATTTTTAAATATTGTAGTCCTATATACACATATGATGCTATCTCATGAGATAAAGAAATGATATCAACTTCAAGTAAATCATATACAACTTCCGAGAACTATTTTCTATTACTTGTGCAAGCAGTTTCATTAATTTTCTCTAAATTTAGACTTCATTGGTTGAGCATTGAGAGACTACTGTGATCCAAAAACTAACGAACTACATTAATAATTATCTCTTTTCCGAGTACTACAACACAAGCAACTCAAAAACTACAGATAATAAGACTAGGAGTTAATAAATTAAGTTATAATAGGTCACTTATCACTTATCAGAATCATTATTGGGGATTTATTCATCTAAATTTTAACATAAATTTTGAATTGTGCATTAAATATGTAAGTTGTATTGATTACCAACTGATTTGATTCAATAACTTATAAATTGTGTTATAGTTTATGTAAAAAAATGTGGTGCTCTTAAACCTTCCCTGTATTTATCATATTAATGGATTTTATTTTTAGTGGATAATGTATCATTATTTACGAAAATAAAGCCATAATTTTTGGGTCAATAAGATTTTTATACGTAATGATTAAATTAGAAACTAGATGTTCATAATCAATCACGTGAGACGGAAGAAGCCATGCGCATGGGGGGTCTGCACACACTTGATTTTCTAATTTCCCATAAATATGTAATCGGACCCTTGTATTGGAGTACCAAACCAACTAGGCACGCTCAAGCCTACTAGTTTATAAAGGGGGTTATCCTCCCATTCAATAAGGCCTTATTGGATGAGGAGTCAGACCCATTTCAAATTTTATCGTGGTATCAGAGCCCAGGTTCAGTTGAGCTGAGTGCTTGACCAGTGGGTGAGGAGTTAGAGCCGACAACTATCTCTAATAACAAGCATGACCCAACATATAGGCTTGACCATGAGGGGGAGTGTTGGAGCCCCACACCGACTAGGCATGCCCAAGCCTATTGGTTTATAAGAGAGGGTAATTCTCCAATTCAATAAGGCCTTATTGGATGAGCAGTCAAGCCTACTTCAAATTTTATCACCTTGTCACTCAATTATTTTGTGATTTTGGCTTTTGCTTGTGCTCACTGATTATTTTTCAAGAGGACAATTTATGCTTCCGCTGATGCTTTACCTAGTTTATATGTGACCATTTTACCAATCTAATTCGGCACAAACTTTTGTCTTCTGAAATCAGTTCTGATAATTTATCAGCAATAACAAGAGCATTGTGATGACTCAAAAAACTATATAAAATAAGACCAGAAGTCCATAAATTACATTACATTATCCAAAAGCTAAATAATTACATTATATTATCTCTTCTCCGGGCACTACAACACAAGAAAAAGCTGAAAAGCTGCATTACATTATATTATAATAACGCTAGAAGTCAATAACTTAAGGTTACACTACGTTGCTCCCCGGTTGCAAATTACATCTATACCAGATAATTAAAGACTTGCTAGTAGCTAGGAGAGCTTCCAGGATTTACCACCTTTCATGTTGAATTTCTTTAGCCTTCCAAAGAACATGATTATAATGAGCATTAATTTTTCTCCGGTACTCCATCTTCCAACAAATCCATACCAAGTATCCTTGCAGGAGCTGTCAGGTTTCAGTTGCCGTTTACAACTGTACCCAGTTGAGAACCCAACATTCCCATATGCACTACACAATAAACATATAATTTTCTTTTAGAATTTTTTGCCTAGATTGATAATCAACAAAGAGAAATTAATAATTAATCTCACCTCATAACTTCTAATGTGATGTTTAACACATTGAAGTTGAGGGGGTCGTTCTTAATTTTGTCTCTCTCAGTGATGCAGATTATGATGATTCCCATGACTAAATAGGAAAGTTGTGACAATATCAGACTCTCCACAAAACCCTTCTTTTCATTTTCTTTCGGTTTGCAATTTTCTGAATCCTTTTCTTGATATCTTCTTGGTAAAAAATGATGTATAAGGTGGGAGATACCTGCACAGATTGAATAGTTAGATCTCTCCTTATATAAAGAAACACAAGTAAGACCTACATGTTTTGAATAGATCTATTTTTACATACAGTTAACGATCTCATCCCATGTGGTTTGAGAATTGTTGTAAAAAAATTAATTCAAAGATCTCATCCCATATTAAGGGTCAAAAATTTATATAATAAGATCCGTTCCATTGAATATAGAGGTATTATGCAACTAATATTTTTATTATGATATTTACCATAAGCATATCATGTAATAAGCTTATCTTGAAAAGCTTTTACTTGTAATTTTTCAAAATTCTTAGTGTATGCATGTTTAACTAAAAATTCTCAGATATACAGGTTTTCTAGACTATAGGCCAAAAGTCACTTCGATGTCTTTGCTTTTGCAGTTTTGTAAAGTCAATGTTTAGTCGTTGACTTCCGATCTGCAAGTGAAAAACTTCAAAATTTTCGTATAGAGAGAAACTATATGTTGTCATTACTTAATTTACTAGTTTAAACAGTTCTTTTAATATTAAAACAGTTATACTGTGAACTTTCCACTGATTATTATGGCATGACCTCATGCCCCATGGGCAAATAGTCACTTAAATTGGATTCGCCACTAATCTAACCATACATAGCTTTTGCCAGAAAGCTTCTAAAATGGTTACAGAGAATCCAGTATGTAGGCAGTGGCGTTGGGTGCGCCACTAATTATCCAACAACTTGTTCTAAAATGAATCAAGAATCCAAATTCATAAAGTTGCTTCACCGCTGACTATATATAATGCTTCAATACGAACGTTTATAAAGGTAAGTAGAAAAATCGATCGAATTTTCATGATTTTATATTACTATAGTTCATAAAGTAATTGATAATATATCTTATTCTTCAGAAAGTATTTAAACACCTTCGACGACAAAATTTGGTTTGTTTTTGTTTTTGTTTTTTCTCTTTTTGAGAGAATACAAAACTGACAATTGATCATCCTTTCAGAAACAAATTAATTACTTTATTATCAGTAAAATATCTTTCATGGACAAATATATTAAATCTTTATATAATTTAAGTAAAAAATACGGAAAATATGATATCATATCAATCATTAAATTTCGAAAATAAAAATATTACAGAGAGAATAAAGGGGAGTGAAGAACTTACATCATAACAACAAAGAGCACCAGCACTGCTGAAAAGTGTGGAGAGATCAAACACAGATTCGCCGGTGTACCTGAATTAACACTTCAAATAATGAACCAACCGCTTTCTCGATAATTCAGACCATCCATAGCTTCCGAATTCCATTCCAGGGAACAAAGACAAACTGCACAAACAAGAACCCAAAAACAGTGACTCCGAGAAAATAACACGACACTAAGAACAAATGAGGGTAGCCCATCTCTTTCTGTTCCTCAACATGTACTCAAACTCCGCTCGCCTTGTGATTTTATTCAAAATCCGATGACAAGTCGCAGGCAAATGATACAACGTGTTTCCAAGGAGAGTTTGGGGAATTAGAATCCAAAGAAGACCTAGATTTTTCTTAAAAACGATCATGTTTTCATTTGTGGGGACCAAACCACGGTTTAAAAGTGGAAACGATTGTGAAAACAGAAAATGTTAGCGTTGAAGACCTTTGTTTTTTAGAACTTCTTTTGCATTTCCAACAAGCTAACGTACAATAAAATAAACCGATTCCGCCTACATGAACGACAAAAGATAACCTAATATGACAGAACACAAAATCCTGAGAATTATCGATTGAGGGGGCTTGCATTTTTTTCTGAGGAAATAGTATGGGAATTGGAATTCTCATTTGTGACATGAAAAGAGGCCAAACCAAGTTCAATTTTTTGTTGTTTCATGGATCTTTTTTTTAGGAAATGTGGATATTATATGAAGTTCAACCCAGGACATGAAAACTTCCCCACCTATGGACATCAAAATGATCATAACATGGTTGAAAGTTGAGAAAACTGTTAAACAATCCAAAGAAATAATAAAAAAAGAGGAGTTAGGGTTTCATTGATACTGCACAATTCTTGAATACTAAAAGTATGATTTAACCTAAATACAAAGATATATATATCTAACAATGAAAAATGAAAAGACAAATCTACCCTTAATAAACAATAAAACAAGATACCCCTATTTCTTAACATCTCCCTCAACCTCACAATGCGGCGGCTACAAGCATCGAGAGTTGTCCAATTAGAAAACGAACGGAAATAAAATGCGACTTTGTAAGAAATCTGCAATCTGCAAAGAAAGAAAAAAAGGGCAGGTATGGTGCCATGCTTGAGATGATGACGAGTAAGGTACAATCGATCTCAATGTGCTTAGTTCGTTCATGAAAAACCGATTGTGAGCATCTAAATAGAACTCTGGTTGTCACAATACATAGAGTGGGATGAGAAAAAGGAACGCCCTATCTGCAAGTAACCAATGTAACCAAACAATCTCTTTGGTAGTAGATGTCATAGCACGATATTCTACTTCAGTTGAAATTGAGAAACAATGATTGTTTCTTGCTCTTCCAAGAAATAAATCACCCAAAGATACGAAACCAGTAACAGACTTGCAATCCGTGGGATCACTGCCATGATCAGCATCAGAGTATGCACGCACTCCAGGAGAGGTGGATGGAAGTAAAGACCTGAAAGACTGTACCCCGAAATACCGCAAAATACGAAGAGCAGCTGCCCAATGAACTGTTGTAGAGAAGCAACAAACTGACTAACAACATTAATAGCATATGCAATATCTGGACGAGTAAATAGTGGATACCAAACTCCCAACAAGAGTACGGTATAAGTAGGATCTGACAAAGGTAACCATCAGAAGAAGAACTTTGCATTAACCTCAATCGAGTATCGACAGTCTTATTATCAGTAAGTCTAGCCCACTCAAGAATATTTGCAACATATTTCGACTGAGAAGAAATAACCTCTATGTGAGTAGGCTACCTCAACCCAAAATATCGTAGAGAACCCAAATCCTTCATTTCAAACTGTTGAGCTAACTCTGTCTTCAAAATTGAAATACCATCAATATCTCAACAGTAATAATCAGTCATCAACTTAAAGACAGAATGATACGACCTGCATCGTGCACTTAACAAAAAGAACAGAATCATGACTACTAGAAGCAAATCCAAGGGAAGAGACCACAATAGAAAATTCTCAAACCAGCACGAGGTGCTTGTTTAAGACCATATAACGCTTTCTTCAGCTTGCACCATACCCAGAATCATGTGAAACACCAAGAGGGGCGCCATATAACTTCTTCTTGAAGATCTCCATTCAAGAAGGCATTTTTAACATCAAGTTAGAGAATGCCACTGACAAATCGAAGTTACTGCAATAAGATTACGAATAGTAGTCATTTTTGCAACAGGAGCAAATGTCTCCTCATAATCCAACCATACTGTGAGAGTACCCTTTTGCAACCAACCTAGCTTTGTATCGCTCAATAGATCCATCAAATTAGTCTTGATCTTATACACCCAACGATAACCACAACGTCTTACTAGGAGGTAGAGGAACCAAATCCCAAGTACCTTTCTATGCAAAGCAGAAAGTTTCTCATCATAGTTTGCTACCAAAGAGATCAAGAATTGCCTCTTTATAGGAAGAGGGCTCAGAGAACAATGAATGAAGCTAAAAAAAGAAGCAAAAGATGAAGAATAACAAGAATAGAATTTGGTAACTTTGTGGACTTACGAATGCGTATGGATTGACGTAGAGTTGGATCCACAATCTCAGACAAGCTTGAGTGACCATAGGAGAGAGGGAGCTTCAGGTTGCTGGAGAGTAAAATGTCAGTACCTGCAATGATAGTACTAGGAACCTGAGATGACAAACTATCAGAATCCTCAGAAAAAGGATCTATACGAATTAGATCAGATCTAGTCAAGGTATGAGTAGTGGATGGAATAGAAAAGAAAGGTATGCTCAAGAAAAACAACATGACGAGACACATAAAGTTTCTGAGTGATTGGATCAAATACCGTACCCCTTTTTAACCTTCACCATAACCAAGAAAGACACATAGCAGATCGAGAGACAACTTGCTGCGTTCTACATGAGGACGAAGAACGAAACAAGTACAACCAAAAACTTAAAGGAAGAATAATCAGGGGCATACCCATACAACTTTTTGAAAGAAAAAACCTGAAATATGAAGATGGAATTGTATTAACAAACCTACAGCAGTAAGACAGCTTCGCCCCAAAACCCACTAGGAACAGAGGCAGACAATAAGAGAAACGAGCAGTTTCAACAATGTGCCTATGTTTTCTTTAGCAACACATTTTTGCTCAAGAGTATCTGTACACGAGGTTTGGTGAACAGTTCCATCTAATGCAAGCAACTCACAAAATTTATTAGAGGTGTATTCCCCACCCAAATCACACCTAAAACATTGATAATAGCAGAATGTTGAGTTTTGACAAGAGCTCAGGCTGCATATATCTCAAGAATTCAGAACGATGTTTCATTAAATAACCCAACATAACGAGTATGATCATCAATAAAAGAAACCAATATCGAGACCCTCCTTTTGTGGCAACAAGAGAAGTCCCCTACATCAAATGAATCAAATCAAATGGAGAAGAAGAAACAGAAATACTTCGATTAAAGGTAAAGCTGAAAATTTTGCTAGTTTACATCCACTACAATCAGAAATATCACAAGTTTGCAAATTTCCTAAGCCCCTGTGATGCCAAAAATCTCAAACGAGAAGACGAAACATGACCTAAACAAGAATGCCATAAATAAAAACTAGAAGAAGAAGACTCAAACGAAAAGAAGACAAATCAACACTAGTAGCGGTAGCATCAGCACTAGTAGCAGCAGCAACTGGCACTTTTCTCATCCAAATATATAGTCCCCCCTTCCTACGGCCTATCCCAACCAGCTTCTGAGACTGTAGATCCTGCACATAACAAGAAGAAGAGGAAAAGGTGACTAATTACCAGAATCACATAACTGACCAACAGAACCAAGCTTTA